TATGCCCCTGGGTGCGAAGCCCCTCCTGGCTGCCCGGCCAGCCACCGCAGACATCGGTCTGCGGCTCAGCAGTGAGCAGAGCTGTAGACCATTAGATCAACATCACCATCAACCGCCCTCCCTTTCACATATTCTCCCCCCCTCCCTCTCACATCACCCCCCTCCCTCTCACATTACCCCCCCCTCACTCTCACATTACCATCACCCCCCTCTTCCTCTCACCATCACCCCCCACACCATCACCTCCCTCTCACCATCACCCGCCTCTCACCATCACCCCCCCATACACACAACACACTTCAAGCAGCTACCCCATACACATAGGGTCTCAGACAAAAACACAAACATGCTCACAGAGACATACATTCACACACACACACACAAGGATAATCTGTCAGACACACTCTCAGGCACATACACAGGTAAACTGTACATCAACGTGTATATGTGACACTTTTTTGTTAGTGGGGCCTCATGTTTGAGTTTTGCCTAGGGCCTCATAAAGTCTAGAGCCGCCTCTTCTACTGAGGTCTTTGATTTGGAAAAACTCTTTGCACAGAAGGTTTATAAATGTGTGAATGGAGCAATCAATAAATTGCCATCAGCTTTTTGAGCAGTCTTGCTCATCAGATCTGATGAGTGAAGCTGAATAGAATTCAAGGGGATAATATCAAACTGCACAGACAGAAACGAAAATGTTCTGGCTGCTCTGGCTTCTACCTGGTCTAGAAGGGTTGCCTGCTAATTTATAATGTAGAGTGCAGCAGATTAAGGAACTTTAAAAATGAGTGTGGCGAAAGTAAACTCGCCACTGGTTTTTGGAGGGGCCTGTTTGCCAGCCTCCTGCCCTGCGACTATGGCCCTGGGATGTATACTTTTAGGAACTGATGTGGGCATACTTGATTTTATTATGCTGCTGCTGGCCCTTTAAGAACCATCTGGGGACATACTGTGGAGTTACTGGGTGGCCACCATTTCATGTATCAGAGGCACATGGTGAGAACAATGGATGAAGCACATGGTGAGAACAATGGATGGCGGCCATTTTAACTCACAGACACTGTTTGGCCTTTTCTACACGGTGCCATCTCGCCAGTATTTGGTGCACAGAGACATCGTGCAGTGGTTTTAAACTATAGAACAGGGGACACATTATACAGTAATTATTTTTCATATAGCCTGTATATGTTCTGCGGAATCTGCATTAAACTGTATCTTCCAAACTACTGAACGGATCTGGGTGAATTTTGGATATGTGGTTTTATGGGGTTATTGCATGTTTTGGGGTCCCTGTGATATGTTTTATAATACTGTATTTCTCTGCCTGTGATAATTATATTAACCATTGTGTTCAATAATCATATCACAGACAGAGGGGAGGATTTTGTTTGGGAGTGTCTGTGTGTATTATACGGATTGATTGGTTGTATTTCAAAACCCTGTGGGCAGTACTATGTTTGTGGACTGTGAATAAAAGAGTCTGTATGTGCCAGTACTGTCAGTTCTGCTTGACCTCAAAACGAAGTGTCGCCTCGTTATTGGGGGAATTGGATTGTATGCTGATTGCCAGGAGTGTAAGCTGATTGTATGCTTTTCCTGTCCAGTTGCTTACAGCATTCATATGCTTGAGAGCATTTATATGCTTCTCCGGTTCGGTGGTTGTGGTGTCTGCTGCAGTGCTTGGAGTCCTCAGGAAGCGCTAGGAGCATCCTTCAACGGAGGTACCCAGTCGGGGTGCCAGGTGATCCGTTACAATGAGTACATTTGTTTTTGGCATTTTGTAATTTGTTAATTATTATTTCACTTAAAAATATGCACAAAAATGATAATGTTATTTAAATTTCCCAAAGCTGCTGCTCACGAACTCAGCATTGTTCTGTGGCAGATGGCCAATTATTTAAAATGTTGTATATTTTTAAAGTAGTAAATGCTCTTTAACTTACATTAAAAAAGCAATAAAATATATTTAGAAAATATAGCAGATTAACATGTTACATGAAAAGAGACTTGCGTCCATCAAGTCCAGCCTTCAAAATGTTGATGCTTAACATATGTTTTTTTGTATAAAAATAACGATAAACGATATTTAAATATGCATATTTATTTAAGAGAGACCATTTCGATAGAGGTTCTGACACCTAAGGCAATTCCTAAGGATACACAATAGTGTGGCTTGTGGGGATATCCTAAGATAACAGTTACTTTTTGGCCATTTTGCAACTCAATAGATTATACTTTTAATTTGCAAAAACTTTTAAAGATAATTTTAAAGTAACCAATTAAACTAGGTCTTAGTAGATTTGCTATGATGGTTCTCTCTTTTTTTCCAGTTAGCAAGTCATGTGACTGCAAGTGCGGAGTCATTATATAGACCAACAACGAGAGGAAGTATTATTTGTCAAAACCTTCCCATATACGATGCCAAACTGAACTGGCGTTCTCAATACCCCTTTATTAGAAGAAATGAAAAAAATGATCTCAGTTGCCCATGATCCCTATTTAAGGAACACTGTGGGCACCATAACAACTTCATTAAAATTAGTCATTTATTGGCTGAGAGCGCTGCAGAATATGTTGGCGCTTTATAAACAATGATTATAATAAGGGCTTGGTTCTCTTGATTACATTGTTCCTTATGTTGGTACTGGCAGTGTGGGGGATTAGGTACTCTATTTTTACTTTAATGTACTGACTTTATCATCTCGTCTGCTAAATCGTTTTCAAGGCTGAATAAAGATTGAGGCAAACTGAGCATCACCTGGTGACAATGAATGAAAACCCTTTATTTTTTTCTTTACTGTTTTCTGTGCTTGTCTGTGCTGCTTTACGTCTTAATAATGTTTACTCTTCTCCTTTTGCATATCTGTGTAAGCTCTGATTCGGGTGAACCATATTTCTAAAAAGGAAAGTAGGAGGTAGCAACTGTGCCTCCAACCCAGAGACGACCAGACTCCAACGGTGATGTACAATGCGAGAAACGATTGGGCGCAGGTCTATGGTGCAGGTAGGCTTACTGTATTAAGAGCTGCAACATGTTGGCTCCTAACAGAGCCAAGCTTGGTGAAGGCCGTGTTATGAGAAGAAACATTGCTGCCTTTAATCCAGTAAATTAGACCTGTGCCCAGTCTTTTTCTTACCGTTGATCACTAGAAATTTTTTATGTGAATTTCGGTTTGACTCAGCATTATTTCGGCACCAAAAAACAATGCAGTGACCGAATCAGACAAGCCAAAATGAAGCGAAAATGGGCCAATCAGTGTACTGCAAAATATTATATAATATCTGGCAGGACACTGATAGGAGCATTGCCACTATTTGGTTCACAGAGCAGGTGAGAAAAATTAACCAAGAGAGGGAAAACCAGGAGAAGCAGTACAATAAACTATATTAACATATTATATCAAATTTCTATAATAAATATATAATACATACAGATTTTTTATCCTGCCGTTCCATTTTCCCCTCTGTTGCTTATTTATCAGTTGATCTGTGACTACCAACATTTAGTGACTGTTCCCTAATTATCAATCATCTTTTTCTACCCATCAATCATCTCTTTTTTGATGCCACAGATTAAATCCAAAATCACGACCCAAAATAAATCTGCTTGGCCACTGGCTTCATTTTGTATGTTTATGAATATACCTATATGAATGCATGTTTGTGTGCATGTATACATATATAGTAAGCATATGAATTAATTTAGGCATTCTTGGAAAACTCTCCTGAATGTGTTTTGCATTGTATATAGAATTATTATTGTGAGGAATATGGTATCATAAAGGAACGCTGTCTGCACCCTCCAAACAGTCCCAAGTCTAGCGGGACAATCTCAGTTTTGGGATTTTGCCTCTCCATCACAGTTTTGTTACATGGTGAACGTCATCGGTGGACATGAGAAAATAGTTCCCATTAAGAGAAATACAATCACATCATTAGATTTTCTTGCACTGTGAAACATTCACGTAGCTCATGGGGAGAGTGCAGTGCCCTGTTCATGTGCAGCCCCATTGGGGCAATATGACACACCCCTTTTTGGATGACGCTGTTACTTTACTCGGAAGGTTTGCTTATTTACAGACCTCTTTTATAGCAGACCAGGGATGTGTTTACCACAAGGCATTTGCTTAGGGCGACATTTTCGGGGAAGGGGGGGAGGGGGCGCCAAAAAATGCCACCCCAAGCTCCCAGACAAATGCCTTGTTTGCCTCGTGTTCTGGGGCTGTCCACCTTACTGTGAGTGAGTGAGTGTAGCTGTCAGTGTGTGTCTGTGAGTGAGAATGGGTGTGCCTGTGAGTGTGTGTCAGTGTGTGTATGTGATTTTATGTGTATCTGAGAGTGTGTGCCTGTCAGTGAGTGGGTGTGTCAGTGTGTGTCTGTCAGTGAAAGTATGTGTTGGTTAAACAGTGTGTGCCAATGACTGTGTATCTGTCAGTGAGTGTATATCAGTGCATGTATCAATGAGTCGAAAAAATGCCCAATACTCCACAATACTCTCTCAATTCTCCGCTATTCCTAATTTACTGATTTTGAAACCTAAACTGCTTTAGGCATTTTCTAAAGAAATTGTGAGCACAACAGAAATCAATTAAATTAAAAATCCTCTACTGAAGTACACGTCAATGACTGTCATAAAATGGAATAATGTATATGCACATTTTCTCCAGCGATATATTATGTACATAAAATAACCGAGGACTTACCGCAGGATTAATCTTTCCTTTATCCTACAAAGCAGCTATGGTTAATTAAAGAGACAGATTTGATTTGCTGCGTGGGATTTAGTTTAGGTTAGTGACCCCTTCTAAAAACATAAATTGAAATTGACACTCCAATCTCAAGGCATTAATGTCTCACGTGTATCTGGAGATTGTATTCTGTGAATGTCTCCACTTGCTCAGAACACATTGCAGCCCCTATATTCCTTATTAGGTATCATATCCCTGTGTTTTATAGTGATTGCAAAGTACTAAAGAGGAGAGGATCAATCAATCACAGCACTCAGTGGTATTAAACTGATATTCTATGTTCTGAATAATTCCAGATTGTTGACATTGTCAGGTCAGGCTCTCTTTAGAGCTATGCTCATGGCTTAGAAGGGGTTAAGTGGGTGTCCCCTTAAGCCTGTCTCCCATTCTGTTATCCTTTTGCAGATCTGCCAAACACAAACTCTCAGAATATTGGAGAGAGAGAGAGCAAGGACTGAGAATTCTTGTGAGAGGGGAGTCTAATTCCTCTCATCTTTCAAACTACCAAATAAGAAGAATCTCTGAAGAATTAATATTCTACAAGAAGATCCTCAGATAGGAAGAGGAACACATATTATGCGAAGGAAAGTCTGCTTTCAGGATCACCATGAGCTGCTATAAGCCTTGGACATGTTTTATGTCACTTACAAACAGGAGGATTTAGTCAATTTCATTTGAGTGCAGCAAAGTATCTTGTGATCTGCTTCTTCAGCATGGCAGGTAAGTACCTTTTATACCAGTGGTGATCAAAAGGTAGGTTCCCAGCTGTTAGAGAACTACAAGTCTCATGATGCTTTATAGTGCTAGGATGAGAACGCATCATGGGACTTGAAGTTCTATGCCAGCTGCTGAGCTACCCTTTAACTCATCATTTTAAGCCAAAAATTGATGGAAAAGTGGGATAGAATTTTGAATTACAAATTGCTGCTGACAATATATTCACCATTGACTCACTCAGTTTATGAATTCAACAGACACAAAACATTTCATTGGATTTACCTGAGTAAGACATTTGCTTGTGCCCTCATGTGAGTTAAAGTGAGAGCTTATGTTATCAAACAATCTAGACAGTGTTTTCATAACAAACCTGTTTCTTATTGGGAGACTTTATTAAAAGGATTCTAATGCATGCACCTGTTTAACGTTGCACTCACATGTTTTAGAGTAATAATATACATTCTTGTTTTTTAATAAATATAAATTGGATTTATGTAGTTAAAATATAAACTGAACATTTTCAGCTGTCAAGCCTATACAATATACCAATAAATCTGTATGATATATACTATTTTAAACAAAGTGGATGGGAGGAATAGATGCTAAATATTTACATTTAAATTGGTAAAAAAAAATACTAAAATATTTTTTTCTATTAATTGTAAACTTGCACATGTATATGCCTAGATATTCAGTGTATTTCTTTAGGATGTGCCCCAAATGGATTTTTGAATGTTTTTTTTTTTTTTTTACATAAAAAGATGATATTTTATATAATTACATGGGATCATAAATATTCATAATATGAAATCATGAATGAAATTTATTTTTATTCGTTAAAATAAAACGTAATTGAGTTTAAAAAATAAAATATTAATAGACACATTTTAAATATTAATATTTTTCCAAGTATATACACAAATAATATATATATATATTTTTTAAATTATCCTTCAGCAGATAATGAGCTAACCCAAATTTTCATTAAATTCAACACAAGTACTTAAATCGTATACAGGGTACATTATACGAAAAGGTCCCACCCTTTGCGCATGCCCATATGTATATATTGTCTTTTATAATTACATATTGCAGTGTGTGTCAGAGTTGTGATGGTAACTTAACAGTTAAATATAAAATCGAATGAAGGCAGCGTCAAGGATCAGAGGTTTGTGGGACTAACCTATTGTTTTTAAGGAAGGAACATCATTATTAAGAAAACGTAATAGGCGTAGATGCTATCAGAGATTTAGAAAGCCCAGTTCCTGTATGCCTACAGCTATTACTGTTACGTTAGCATGATGGGTAATTCTGTGTAAATACACACAGAATACAGTACGTGTTCTTACCCTGACCTACTTAAAAATAAAAAATAAACTTTAAATTCAAAAATAAACAGCAAAGTCTGCCGTACTTTAACAATTTGATCAAATCTACATTTCTGCCTATATTATTAAATTAAAAAGATTTTACAGAAAGTCATGTTATTCCGTAAACCACAAAAAACAAATTGCTGCAATTACTGCTATAAATGTTCCCAGTTGTGAAAGGTTTGTAATGTTCTATAAACTTACTTTTAACTTGAGTCTCAATAATATATTTTCCTTCACATTCAAATGATCGAGAGATTTGTTTTATTCGTGAAATGTAGCAAAAAAAGAAATATTACAATTTTGGCATCTGACATAAAATTTGTGTAGGTTTTATAAACTGTCTCGGACGTCCAGTGGCAAAAAGTGAATTAAAACATTCAGGCTGAAATTGCCAATCTCGCAGAATTCTCTGACTCACCTAGTCAAAGCTTGGCTAGTTTAGCCTGAATATTGCAATTTAGTTTTTAATTAATACAACCCATTGTCTTGACAAATGTTTCAGGTACACAGTTCGAAGTGATACATTTGACTTGGCTTTACACTTTAGCAAGGCATATTGATCCATTGGAGAGGCCAATGTTACGACCCTGTCTATTCAAACCTTCATGCTGCTGTCTATGCTATGTGTTGTCCTTATCATTCACAGTGTGTTAGGCTTTACAGTGTCAGTGTTATTTCATAATTATATATACTTAAGAGCCCAGGTTTTTGGGTCAAATACCAAGAAAATAAATTATGTTTTGGTTATAAATTATGTTAGATAGGAGTCCAGCGATAATTCCAATATGGCGTTATCTTACAGTCAGTTTCAATGTTCACAACAAGTTGCAGTTATCCTATTGCTTGCTCTCCCTGGTCCACAGTTTGAACATTGTCATGTTAAAGGGACACTCTTGTCACCAGAACCACTACAGTTTAATGTAGTTGTTCTCGTGTCTATAGCCAGTCCCTGCAGGCATTTTAATGTAAACACTGCCTTTTCAGAGAAAATTTGCTGCCTGAAAATTTACATTGCTGTCTAGTAAGACCACTAGGTGCAGTCACCCAGATGGCCACTAGAGGTACTTCCTAGTTCTCTTCATGGAGGTGATGACCGTTCCTATGAGGAGATGCTGACTGGCGCAGTCGCAGAATGGCCTCCCATTGCTTTCCCATGGGAAAGCATTGATTGGCTGATATCATCAAGTTTTATGATCTAAGCCAGGCATAGGCAACCTTCGGCACTCCAGATGTTTTGGACTATACCTCCCATGATGCTTTGCCAGCATTTGCCTGCACCTGTTACTGCGATTTAAAGGGGGTTGGGGACCATAGGTAGGTAGGTAGTTTAACATTATAGTATCAGGTCCCTAACACAATAGTGTTCTGTTAAGTAACTGCTCCTCTGGGTCATATGAATGGGTCCTAGAATCAGCCCCTGGGAAGTAGCATGGTACATCACATAATGGTTGATTGCTCTGACCAAATCATATATACCTTTGTATCGCTTGTTACTTAGTGAGCTTGTCTCATTGGTTACTTTGAGTGCTCCATGTATCCTTGATTTGTTCACTCCCCAATATCTTTCAGTGTGACCTGAAAGCAGCACTGTTACACTCTGCTAAAAAATGAGTATTTCATAAAGATAGAATTTCACGGAACTTCCAACCCAATCAAGAGAGATACTAAGAAAAAGGATGGATAACTTTGTTTCTCTATATTTCCTCCTCTTGACATTCTTGACTCTGGGTCAAGCTACAGTGTCAGTCATGACAGTTGTCACTAGTAACGGCTGCAGGGAAATGGCTCTGTCTACGGAGAGATAGACTCTCTATGAAATACTCATTTTGACTGTGTTGGAATTGCAGTGAAATTCCAACCTAGCCAAGACTCAGGGCAGAATCTAAGAGTCAATCCCAACAGCCATGACCAGTGACGGATACTGGGAAGTAGCTGTGTCTATGCCTCCATTGATCTCAATGCTGTACTCTCACGTATCAGTAAGAGTACAGAAGTGATGTCGGCTCCTAACACTGAAAAGCCGGGAGCTAAAAAGGATTTGCCAGAATAAGATGGCTCTGTGCACGATGGACAGGTTCAGGTAGGTAACTCTAACCTTTACCTGGCCCCGACCACCAGGCCCCAAGCAGCTTCGTCACTGTTGGGGGTCTTTGCAAATTCTGGTGTGTGTGGTTTGTGTTTAACCGCTAAAAGTGGCTTTGATTCATAGTTACATCTTAAGTGTGTCCACTCACTTTTGGTGCGAAGATATAATTATAAATGCTTGACTCATTTGGCAGAGATCAGTTTCCGAGGATTGAAAAAGGAGTGCTTACAAATAGTTGCTGAACAATGGAAGTATATTTTAATAAATTCAACTTCTGCTAACCCAAGTAGTGGGGCAAGAGCCATGCTCAGGTACATTATCTGGTCATCTATGTGCATAGTGATAGCACCTTTAAAGCTAAAAGGGGATACAATTCGTTTATATACAATTATTTATATAGTGCTACCATATTCTGCAGCACTGTACACTAGAGAAAAAAAAAAACAAAGAAATAATTCTGACAAAACACATTTGACATATGGGAACAGTAGATGAAGAATGCCCTGCCCAAGGAGCTTTCACTCTATTAGATATTATTATATTATAATAAATTAGACGGAAAATCTCCACCATTTTCTGGATTCACATATAAGATAGTTATAATCACACACAAAAGATGGACGTTTCGAGATAAAGGACGTTATTTATCCAAGTTTTCTGTTGTAAAAAGTGATGCAAATACACAAAAGGGGGATTTTCCTGCTGGCTCTACTGGATTCTATGGTGGATCTTCTGCTGCTCTGCTCAGGTGAGAAACTGACAGCCAAATGGATTGGCCCCAGCATCTGGGCTATTGGTAGAGACATTTGTTCGACAAGCAATGATACTTACAGGATATTGATCCACAACGATAAGTAATAGGCTGAAGTAGCCAGTGTCATGACCCTTTCTAAATCTTCATACAACTGCCTAGGTCACTTGCCGACCTTATTAATATTCTTGACCATGCATTGTGTTTCTTTTAGAAAGTACAGACATTAACCGGGTATCAGTGCTTATAATTATATATTATGACATTAAATGAAAAGGACTTGGGAACAATAATAGATTGGCAACAGTATGAAATGCCGGTCTTCCTTTGCAAAAGCTAGTAAGGTGGTTTTGTGTATCTAAAGGGCGTTGGTTTATGTAATCCAAATCTAATTTTGTATAAATCTACTTCTGTATAAATCAGTGGTAAGACCAAACCTTGAATATCCGGTGAATTGTGGGCACCAGTTTTGAAGATGGATATTGCAGAACTAGACAAATGTGCAGAGGAGACCTACAAATTAATAAGTAATGACCTGTTCATTAGTAGGAATATAGAACTCACAAGAGAATATCCATTGAAACTGGAAAAAAGGCATTTTCACTTACAGCAAAGGAAAGGGTTCTTTACAGTTAGTGGAATCATCCGCTCTGAAGAAGTTGTCTTATCAGATTCTATAGCTATATATATATTTTAAAAATGCCTTAATGTTTTTTTTTAATGCAGAATATTTAAAGATTTAAAATAATTAATTGTAACATGTTGTTGATCCAAGGAGAAATCTGAGTTCCATTATGGAGTCAAGAAGGATATGTTTTTAACTTTTGTGGCATACTTGGCCATTGCTTTTAATTAGGATTGTCTTTTCTTTTGGATCAACAGCATAAACAGATGGGTTTTAAAGGTTGTACGTGATAGACTTGAGTCTTTGTTTTAACCTTGATTACTATAAGGGATGTACACTTAAGTCTGAGTGGCCTGATACGAATGGGACAAAACCATCTGGCTGCATACTGGGCAGAGCTACCCCCAATCCATTAGCCACCCGTCTTAAAGTGAAGTCCCTACCCACCCCTCCTCACCCTTATAATAGTGGAGAGGGGCCTAAAAATATAAAACCTTACCATCAGAAGTCTTCTTTCTTCTAATTCTTCTGTTCTTCATCCCCAAAAAGGCCAAATAAAACCCATAATTCTTAACACGCTAATTAAAAAGGCCTGATTTAAAAAAAAACTCTGGAATAATAAAACCATGCTACTATAAAACAAATAATCCATCTTCACCCGTTTTATAGGCTTTCTCATGCTATAACTTCTATCGCAAAGCGTGGGAAAAGTTCCCATGATTCGCAATATGACCAAGAGATTTCTGATTGGTTGGCTAGTAAATCAACCAATCAGAGAGCTCTGGCAGACAAGTCTCGAGAAAGAAGTACATTGTAAATTGGTTCGGATGCTGATATTAGCAAGTTTCCAAACTAAGGAATGTTACAGAATTGATTGGACTGAACGCTTTTGGCTGTAGTAAATCTGGAAATTGCCAGTGTGGTCGTTATTTGACCATTTTAACTGGGTTTTGTCCAAATGGTGTCTAGTGAATAATCCTTTATGTAACTTTATCTATATAGTTAGGGCTGTGGAGAATACAGCCCAGGTGCAGAAACGTATAACCAAAAACAACTTACCACGAAATACAGGTTGAAGTGGCACTGTCACTGTCTGGGGAATATGTATAATTTGCAAAGACCCCCAGCAGTGACAATCTCCACCGGGGAACCAGTGGCTGGGGGGGGCAAGGTTCTGAACCTGTCCTTTTTTCGGTCGCCACCATATTTTTCCTTGGGTCATCTTCTGCTCTTGGAGTTTCCATGTCAGGAGCTCTTGGAGTTTCCATGTCAGGTACTCTTGAGCATGTACACTTGTACATGCTCTAGAGTGCTCTAGAGTACAGCATTAAATCATTGGAGGATCCAGTGAGACCATGGGATCTTCCATAGAAAGAGACAATTTCCTAGAGCCACCACTGGTGATGACTGAGGGATTGACACTCCTTGATGCCCAGTGTCAAGAAGAGTCAGGCGTAGGAAAAATACATAAGACAATATGTGCAGTCCCTACTTTGTGCAGAGCCTGTATGTACTATGTGCAGTCCCTACTTTGTCTTTTGTTAGAAATAGATTAAAAAAAGAGGAAAAGAATGTCATATTACAAACACAAAAATGACTGTTACGCATCACAAACATATCTTAAGTTGGACTTTTTGGGCATAGAAACTGAACAATTCATGTTTGCACATCTATCCCAGAGTTCCCAGCTTTGCATGCAAATGAGCACAGACAGTCAACGCATTTCAAATTTCATACTGCATATTTTGTTTTCTTAAAAAGCTGTGTTTAAAAGGGTGTCCATTGCTAAGGGAGTCTGCAAAAATGCAGTATAAAGTCTGAAATGCGATGACTGTCTGTACTCAGTGACTAGAAACCAGTGCAAGAAATCTGTACCAGTAAAAAACAACTTGTGCTGTGCGTCCAATCTAGACATCAATGGAGGCCAGCTGTGATTTTCCCAGCCTCACAGGGGGAGTTAAGTCTAGAAGTAAGAATGGGTACTCACTATCTCTATTCCCTGGGAGGTATTGTTACCTGTTGGAAATACAGCAAGGTGGGGAGAGTTGCAGATGCCCTTCCTCCATGTCAGTGCTGGTGCCAGGAATTTTGACTGCACAGACAACGATGAGTTTTTTCCTCCCCACGAAAAAGTATTTTCACCCATGTGTCTCTTTAACCCCCTATTTTGTATTTTTTACCCCCTTTAGCCCCTTTTGTGTTTCTTACCCCTTTTTATGTCTTACACCCCCTCCTTAAGTGTATCTTATCCCAACTTTTCCCCCTTTGTTTGTATTTCACTCCCTTTAATCTATCTTATCCACACTTGTGTGTCTCTTACAACCTCTCCTTGTGTGTCCCGTACTCCTCACCATTGTGTGTCTCTTACAACCCCTCCTTGTGTGTCCCGTACTCCTCACCATTGTGTGTCTCTTACAACCCCTCCTTGTGTGTCCCGTACTCCTCACCATTGTGTGTCTCTTACAACCCCTCCTTTTGTGTCCTGTACTCCTCACCGTTGTGTTTCTCTTTCTCCCCCCACCAGCCCCTCTGTGTATCTTTTACCCCTTTCAATGCCAGCTTACCCCCTGTTGTAGTGTGGCCTCATGGACCATGGTAGTAGTAGTAGTAAATTAAGTAACAGGCAGTAGGTTTGGCGCTGTGCACCCCCTCCTGTCGTTCACCTGGACATTGCACCCTCCATGCCGGTGTTCCCAAAGGCAGCTGCCTGTATCGCCTTATCATAATGCAAGTCCTGATCAATGTAAAAAAAGGGAAATGTGTAGTATTCACATTTAGTGACAGTAACTGGCTATCCTACAAGGTACTTACAATCATCCTTTGTGCTCCACCTGAGAATGTAGATGCTGCTCTTGCAGAATGAATGGTAGTAATAATGAATGGATATTTTACAGAATCATAGAATTGGTTGAACAATCTGGTAAATGTTATAGAGTGAATGTGGGGGTATTGAATTAAGTGTAGATGTTTTCCCAGCTCCATATTCAGCTCAAACTACTAGCTTTTTTATTGGCTTTTGCCAAAGCATTTGGTTAGAGGTTAAGTCTCATCCGATTAACTTTTTATTCCATCAGTATGTCCTAAACCGTTTATACTTCATTTCAGGACCTGTCATACCAATTACAATTAGTTGTCACTTAGAAGAGCATTTCTTTTCTCTGTATATTGTGATAGTAGAATCACTAGCAAAAGTGTAGAACATATTGTTTTACCTGTTAACCATCCAATCTCAGTAATAAGGTAATTTTACTCAGCTTTTCTCCCACAGCGGTCTAGTTTAACCGTAGCTGGCCCGCCTGACCTCCTCCATGGTTGAGATAATCAATCTTTATGCTCTCCCATAGGAAAGCCTTGGGAGGCTATTGCGCATGCACGACAAAACTCTGCGCCACTCAGCATCTCATCATAGAGATGTATCAAATTAATGCAGAGAACGTAGAGATGCTGAACATCAGTTGTACAGCACTGACCCAGTAACCACCTCTAGTAGCCATCTCAGTGGCTGCCACTGGAGGTGTCCCTAGGCAGCAATGTAAACACTTCCTTTTCTCTGAAAAATGTCTGCAGGGACACCAGAATCCTTACATTCAGCTGTAGTTGTTCTTGTGACTATAGTGTTAGTTTAATAGTTCCCTTTGCAATGCAATATCATTGATCTTTATGATTAATAATATACTAATTGATAAAAGGTTACTCCAAGAACCATTGAGTGATTCGAAGTGGTCATGGTGCTTGGAACCTATACGTGCTGTAATGAGACATTGCATATACAGAGTTTAACCCCTTTGCTGCTGAAGCGATAACTCCACCTCTGACAGAGTCACTGTGGCATCATTAGCAAACCCAGAGGAAGACTCTGTGCATATTGGACTTCTGTGATCAGCACACAGAACATGCTGGCGACAGACTACTATTGGCTGTATTCCCCCCTTCTATACCCACCCATTGTACAGCACTACAGAATTTGCTGGCGCTATATTGATAATGAAATAATAATATACATAGAAAGCCCTTCCTTTAGCCGGCCCACCCTGATATCTCTTGTCCTCCATGGAGAGTCATATCACTGTAGAAGGATTGTGCTGCTGGGAGAACTTGCTGCTGGAATGTAATAAATGTATCTCCTTTTTTTTTATTTTAAAGTGGGTGGAGGACCAGGATAGGAAGGGTTACTCTGACCTTAAACACAGTTTTATTAAAATACTGTTTTTGGCTTGGAGTAATCCTTTAAAGAACCACTATAGTGCCAGGAAAACAAACTCGTTTTCCTGGCATTATAGCATCATTAGGTCCCGCCTCCCGCTTGGCTGAAGGAGTTAAAACCCATTCAGCCACTTACCTTTCTCCAGCGCCAGGCTCCCACGGCACTGGGGAACTCTCATCCTCCTGCCGACGTCAATGCTGAATGTGCATGCGCGTGCATTCAAACCGCCCACAGGAAAACATTACTCAATGCTTTCCTATGGACGTCCAGCGTCTTCTGACTAGAGGGACCTGGCACCAAGACCACTTCATTGAGCTAAAGTCGTCTGGGTGCCTATAGTGGTCATTTAAGTAACAATAATCCAAGAAATGTAATCTTGACAGTGTCCCAAAATATAAAATCACAAAAACACAAGCTGGGCGATCAAAATGACTCTGGCATAATGTGCATTTAAGGCATAGTCCTTAGAAAGATTGCAGAAACGCAGAGATAAGGAGTTCTATACAATTTACAATCACCACCATTTATTTTCCTTTAAATCTCCCCGGTATACATTGATACGTTGACTCAGTTAGGACAAAGCATCATATTTAATCATTGAACAAACTTCTGAAGTTGTTAATATTGATTATTATATATATTATATGGATAACAAAGAGAAATCACTAACTATTTTTTTTACCCATTAATCATTGGTGCAGGCAGAAGTCCCCTTGTGGTTTTTCTGTATGTGATGGTTGTAATATCTGGATGTCTGTGCATTTCAAACATCGCATCATCTGCCAAACTGAGGAGGAATCTTTTCAACCAATATCACTCGCTACTACTTGCCGATGGAAGAGAAACTACAATCTACTTGCTCAAAGACATTACAAAAAGGTAAGACACTATAGGACATGTGCCCTATTTATCAAACGGTGCATATTCTCTGCTATGTAATTATAGGGATACTCCAAACCCCTAAAGCACTTTAGTTTCATTTAATAAAAAGTAGAGACTTCAATAAAAATTCACACATTTATAAATGAACCTTGTTACACCCCCCTGGCTGTCACTCAGACCACCGTTCCTCTTACTTCCTGGTTTGTTTAGCTCAGTTTAGTTAAACTAAAGAGACAGGCAACCTTATTGAGCTGCATTGAGAAGTCAGTGATTGGACAGCCACAAAAACTCTAGATTGAAGGGGCTTGCAAACCCCCAATGAAAAATGCACAATTAAATACATGCATGGTTTCATTGTATGTAGTAGTATATGTACTAACATTTGATTTATTTATTTTTTTGTATTTAGGCAGTGTAATGTCCCTTTAATTAGAGTAGCTTTCTTCTTCATTCCTAGCCACAAAAAGAAAACACAGTGTGACATATTCTACATTTCATGATATATATTTTTAGTGGAAAAAAAATAACCTTTTCATGGATGCAGCAGGTCTGAATGCCCAGCATGCCATGTGAATTATGCAAATTAACAGAAACAGCACAGTCACATTTTCAAATGCTGGAGAATGAACTACTTACATTTAGGAAAAATGCTGAATGTGGAGACATTTACTTTGAAAAAGTTTGACTTGCTAAGCAGACTCCATATTTGTCAATTAATATCCCTTTATAAGTGTTAGGGAAACCATCATTTGTAATGATTTTTAATGTTATGTTTACCTATCCGCTCTATTCAACAATATTAAAAATTAATTAAATGTGGAAATCCACACTTTATCCTGGAACTGGAAGCACCATCGAGGCTTGTCATATATTATAATAAAAGTTGCCCTTTTCTGCTCTTGAACATAGTGGAAGAGAACAAAACAATGTTTATTTTCTTTGTCTCTTCCTCTACATTTGCATTGTGTGCCTTGGCTGTGCCTGGTCTGAACTGGATTGTGATGTCGCTTGCAAAATCTTTAATAGACATTTTAAAGACAATTAGGCATCATACGGAAGAAAATGGTTAATACAAGTTCTAGGTGATTTTCCACCTGTAATTTGCAAAGAATCAACTTTTCAACTTTAAGTTTTATAGCACAGCTCTAATGAAAATAGACGTGTTGGTCTTCTTGATTTAAAAAGAAAATATGTGTGAACCCATTGAGGAAAAAGGGGGTGACTTTCATGGTGTGGGGTGCATTTCATCTAGTTGTGTTCATTATATTTCTCAGTTTGTAAACTCCAAAATCTATGAAAGACACCTTCCAAACACCATAACCACTACAGTCCATTATTGAGGTTACACTGCCTATCGTCATCCCATGGCTAGTAGTCAAACCATTTTACTATGATTTCACAACTTACCTGGATCCTGCCTTGCTCCCAGTCTTCTCCTACATGAGAATATTGTTCATTTTACCGACCTAAGCAGGGCCATCCTCTCATAGTCCTGGATTGGCCCCCATGCTTTATCCTATAGAGATCAGGTGCAGTGCGAGTGACCCAGGTAAGTTGTCATACAATAAACAAAATGATTGACTTTTATCGCTGGACGACACCTAGTCACCCCGACTCTATAACCACTGCAGCAAGAAGTAGTGGTTATGGTGCTTGAAGTGTCAATTAAACTGTAACCAATGACCCAAAAAATTATAAAACTTAACCAGTAAACCTTGTCAAGTCAGGTCCAACTTAAGTTTAACTCAAATCTACTATCACCCACATTGAATTAAAAAAACGCTAGATTAAACAAACAAAAAAAAACCCAACTGTTTAGATTTATTTAATTGTTTTGATTTCAAAATCTTGGAGGCAAGAATTTTCCAAGTTTTCCACCTTGTAGAAGGTGCCTTTGTTGCCACCAGCAATTAGTTATCAGAAGAAGGTCTTTCTATTTACTAAAACTGCATAATAGAATCACTTAAACAATCCATGAATAGTTTTAATACTCCATATCAGTGCGATTATTTAGTAAAACGACTTTTAAAAAATCCCACATATTTCTACACCAAGTGACCTTTACATTGGAATGTCCTTTGTGTATCAAGCTAGAACATATTTTTACGTAAGAGAACATTTGTGAGCTGTCAAATTCTGTCTCCGTGAAACTCACGGCATTCTAATACCATTAAGAGACCCTTGAGAATTCCCCAAGTTGAAGAAAAGGTGTTTAGTATAGTAAACAAAGATAGAAATTCCTATTACTGTAGAGATTGCGACTTTATAGACCTGTATAAAGTTTGCTACGTGTCTTTCTTTTCCAATTAACATAGAGAGAAATTCATTTCTACGATGATGTTTGCACGTTTCCTTGTTTCCTGTTGCTCCATAAAAGTAACAATCTGCTGTGTTATGGAGGATTTGAATTTCTGTCACCCATAAACTTCGCTATAGAGTTACGGTTTATGAATTGTTTCCATCTTGGCCGTCTGCAAGAATGGAAACCATATCTTAATAATGGAAAGAAAATACTGTGCTAGGATTGTTGTTGCATAGTAAGCTTCTTTGACTCATTTTTTACAATACAAATCGTCTTACGAGGTTATTTACGAAAGTGAGAATTCATGGTAAATTTCACATTTAAGGCCAATGTAGTCACAGCCAAACAGAAAACACAGCTGGCTTAGAGAATTTTGCCAGTTCAACTATTTATACCTTAAATTTGAATACAGTTTGAAGTCACTTCGAATTCTAACGCAAGTAATTAACCCTGTTAGGGTAATCTCTGTGTCTCAAAAACACGTACCTCGGTAAATTCTTTTAATTCAAGCACAGTGAAAGGTCTTATTTTTTGAGCTTTAAAACAAAGTTACGTGGACACGGTTGAATTTACATCTTGAGTGCCTGTAGGTGCAGAATTTCAAGTTGCCCCCAATAAAAACGATGCATGGACTACGTGTTTTACGTACGCCCTCCGCAATTGTAAGCGAAGTGCAATTATAATGTAACAAAATGAAACAGTATATCAAGATAAATACAAAAAGGAAGAATATAGATTTTGAGGTCTGGAGAACAAGTTGGTTTCCATGATGATCAGTCTATAGTGCTCCACTTGTTTAATTTATGTGAAAACATCAGTAAAAAGATTAATGGTTTATATACTGTACTTATTTGTGGTTCTGTTATCTAAGGAATAAGAGTCCCTCAGCTATAAAGCAGTCAGATGAAGAATTATGGCAAGTAGAATTTGCTATCAGTTTTATCGGAATCCACCGCTTTTTGCATTGACAACTCCAGCACGTATTCCACGTTGTATCTGAATGCATTGCTCAGTTTCTGCATGTTGTCATTTTCAGGTACTACTTCTTCCTGGAAGAAAATGCTACACCTCACTTCTCGATCACAGTGACTCCATGTGATGTGCCCATTGAATGGAGCATTCTACACTACAAAGCCCACGTATCCCACGGAAAAATAGCAGGTATGACAATTATATATGTGAAAAACTATGTTCCTCTCTGGGTTTTGTTCCAGTATCTATAGCCATTTAAACTGTCAATTAGCTGGATATATAGTCTGCAACTAGCATGGCAACGCTATAGATTTTGTGCGGTTTTTCAGGAATTCAGAGAGGACTTTCAGTTCAAGCAGTAGATGGGCAGCCATGGGATTCGTCAATAGATAAAGCTGGAATAGCTTCAATAGAATAGATGTAAAACAGGCTACTTGCAAGGTTTCAGACACATAAAATGAAATGCTCCTTGTAACAGTTTTTGTAACAGCACACTTTTTCAGGAGGATTTTGTCTGGAAATTAGAGAGTTCTGGGGCAAAAAGCAATATTACCAGAGTCCGTAATGGTTCCGATTGATGGAGGTGTCAACAGACCAGGTGATATCTTGAACCTTTAGTCTTAGTGGTAGATAAAAAGTCATACTCATCATATGAAGAACTAAGGATAAGCACATTCTTAATAGCTGGGAGTTACAGAAAGCCAGAAAACTTCAAAATAATCTAAGTACAAGGGAAATACAAAAATACAAAGCACGGCCTCTATCAAGATAGGTGTAATTATATGATCCTCACCAAATTTTGCCAATCAGTAGTTCATTCGGGCTTAAGTGATAAAACCATAAAACTGGTGTTTTCAGGCATACTTTGAACACTAGTGCATCCATGCTATAGGCAGCAAAGTGCATAATGTTTGGTTATTTTTGTTTAGTTGATGGGTTTTATTGGGTTTAAGATTTTCTGAGTAGAATTATAATTCTAAACTAGAAAAGCTAAAATTTCTGGGGAAATTGTGTGAAGTGTTCTTGCCTCCACCAGTAGTCTACAACTGGAGTGGGCGAGTAACTGTTATTATTTATTTGTAAAGCAAATTTAATTTTAACGTTGTTGCCCAAAGTGCTTCACAGTTACATTAAAACATACATTTATAAAAACATTAGCAGGTGTTCAAAAGGCCCTGTCTATGACATCACTTGTTGCTGCAGCTTGACACAGGTCAGAGTATTTTGGTGGTTGCCATCTTCAAACGGTCGTATCTTAAAAACTATAAATCCTACAGCGAAGAGCTTTATATTGTGAGAATCACAAGACCCAGACCTACATTTAGATGCATAGTATCTCAGTTTAGAAATTGCCCTTCAAGTTTGAGCTGGCTATAGTGGAGTTTCAATGAATGTCAATGGACGGCGTGAGTTGCAAACAAATGGTCATATCGTGAAAACTATCAGGACTATGGCTTAGCCGTTGACATGTTTAGTGGCAGCAGGGATAGCTGAACATTCTGATATAAGATTTGTGTAGGTGGGCTTGAAAATGAGGGAGTGGTGGCAGTTTAGAAATCATGTCCTGATTTTTCAGCTTTTGACAGCTCCCACTCTAGTTTTGAACATTTTGCCATTCATTCCTGTGGGACCAATTTCGCCACAAGAACGACGATATTCCGTGAACCATTTGGCGAAACGTTCCAAAAAATAGTAGTAATCCAATCGGGAACAATACGCACGTTTCGGTATATTTCTGTCTATGTATTGTAAAAAGTGTGGGAGGAGTTAGGGTGGTAAACTTGGCTATAATAATAATAATAATGATAATATATATGTAAGATAACATTAAGTGGTCGTGCTATGCAAGAACACTTAATAATATATATGTGAGATAACATTAAGTGGTCTTGCTATGCAAGAACACTTAAAAATAGTTTATTGAAAAAAAACATGACAATATAGTTTCATGATATACTTAATTTTAACCTTGTGTTTTTCCACCAAAATGGTAGAAATGAGGTAAAGGGAAATTTCAAACTTGAGGTAGTCATATTTATTGATGAAGCATTTCCAATACATTTACATAGTTATCAACTCAGAGTTTCCTCAAATTACTTACTAATCTTGAATGGTTAGTTTATTAACTAATTTTTTTTTTATTTTTAGTATGGTTCTTTATTTATCTAATTATGTATGGCCTTTGACAAAACTTGGAAATGAGCCCCAACAATTCAACCTCTTCACTGCGTGGGATAGTGCTGACTATTTTGGACTATTTTGGGTTACTGGTGGTCCATTGATATTAAGCATTACCCTTTGTTCCCCTTTATTCTAGATGGGTTTAGATTCTTTGATGACCTGAAGTCTCAATCGTTTTCCAAGACAGTGTCTACACTGTTCCACTACAAAGGAAATTCTGTTGAGAACTTTATTGGAGCGGCTGTACAGTCATCTCTGTTTGTCCTGGAATTGCTGTCTACAGAGAGAGACACTCATATTTCTGTATATTTAACAACTGACCTTACACATGGAAATTTGTTTCCTGAGCTTCCGGGAGATCCTCGCATTGACGTCACCTCACTCAACCATAACTCTGCTACCTTGGTCTGGAAAGCAAGCCCTTCAGCCTTGAGAAACAAGGAATACATTGAATATTGCCTTCTCGTTAACGAAAAACACAACTACAAAAGTTTGTGTGCTGCTGACACTGCTATAAGATCTGCTGGAGGGAAACACACCAAGTCATCTACTTTTCCTATCTCTCAATATGTAGATGACAATGACAATGTTATGATTCTGTCCAATAATGAGTTCAGTATCATTCACAAAACAAGTAATGTGGATGTTAGACAGATATGCATTGGTAATAAAAATACATATACCGTGCATAACTTGAGCTCAAACATCCAGTATTATTTTGATGTATTTGTAGTAAATCTCCTTACAAATGCTAGCGCTGCATATACAGGGACATTTGCTAAAACTTTGACAGAGCCCAAACCCAAGGTCTCCTACTTGAAAGATGGAAAAATAGTCCAACTTAACTTCGATGGAAAGAGACAAAAAGTTTATAGCTTTCAATATCAGGCCCAACATAAAAAAGTCCAGTTCACATTCCAGTTATGTAGAGGACAAATCCGAGCTCAGATATTAAAAAATGGAAAAATATTAGTATCAGAAACCATTCAAGGTCTAAGGCATATTACACTGAAAGGCAAACCAAATGAGAAGTACATAGCAATAGTCAAATCAACTGAGCTTGTGTCAAATTCTTCTGTTATGGTCCAGGCATCTTCGCATATCTTCAAGCCTTTATTTCCTTTCTTTCCGGATAGCTTAAAAATAAAATCTTTCAACAAACTGCGAACATGTGACTCAGTCACCATTGCTTGGCTTGGTACACAAGAGAGGAATATGTATTGTGTGTATAAGAAAAAGGTTCAGGAAGATGAAGTTTGGAGAGAGATGTCCAATGTTGACAGGTGCTCAGGCCCCAACTCTCGACCAAAATCAGAAAAAGTTATTTGTAAATATTTCCATGATATCAATGTCCAAAGAGCAGTGACCTCAGAGACCATAGGTGGTCTACAGAGAGATACTTCATACCTAATCGATGTGTATCTCATGGGCAACTCTGGAATACTGGTGAAGTATCAAAGTAAACTTGTTAAGACGAGAAAAAATTGTTAATGGTCGAACCAACATTTTTACATGACATCTAGATAAAAAAGAGAGAAACAAAGGCTCATTTTTTTATTTTATATATGGACACAAAGGCATCTATGTTTTGTATATGCCAGTGTTCTCAATGAAGGATGTATTTAATTAAAATAATGTTAAAATGTTTGATAGAAACTGTCGATTGTAAGTTTTATCTTTTTTGTGTGTTTAGCTACCATATATTTTTGTGTAATATATTTTCTGTCCTTGGAAACACTTTCTCCCTACAATTAACAATTTAACAACCACGCTCTCTTTTGGAAAATTTAAGTAAGCATACAAAAGCCCGTTTTTACTTTTATATATGAACACCATGTCTTCTATGTTTTGTATATGCCAATTTAAAAAGCTGAAAGTTGTATCTCATTAAAACTCTGTTAAAATGGTTTAAAATGATGGCTGGATCTTTTCATCCCCAACAAAGAACTTCTGTGTGCACATGTAAATAAGGCTGAATATGTTAAAGGAACACTAGGCAAGGCATAGGTAACCTTCGACACTCCAGATGTTGTGGACTACATCTCCCTTGATGCTCTGCCAGAATTATGACTGTAAAAGCATTATGAGAGATGTAGTCCACAAGATCTGGAGTGCTCAAAGTTTCCTACTCTGTCTCTAGGCACTATAAGAATTTCATCCAATTGAATTGGTTATAATGAACATAGTCCCTGGGGCTGTTCCTCGAATGTTCCTTGAAAAAAAAATAAAACAGAACATTTGTTGTTGAGGGAATTAATCCTATCAATATGCAGGTACGCACTTGCTTTCAGAGATACACACATGAATACACACTGTGGCGGGACCGCTGCTGTTCGTGAATTGTATGTAATATCCCCTGTGTCCACCCATATAATTGCGATGCATTCCTATGCTTCCCCTGCTCCCAGTTCAGGAGAGCTCATACAAACTGGTTCCATTCGCCTCCCGAACGGGGACCACCCCGATACCCCATTTAGAATGTTACTTTAGAACATTCACACCTCTTAACGAGGAGTCGAAACCACAAACCACAAGGGAAGCCTCGGCGCGTGGCGGCCTGTTAGACGAACCCCATCCAGGGGGAGCATTCGTGGATTGCTTCCTACCTCATTCAGTTATCGAACGAGGACCTCCCCAGTGCCCTTGGAGTGTTCACACCAATCAATTAGAACCACAAGGGAAGTAATTAATGAGTGCTTCCCTGGGTGGCCGCCATTCATATAAACAAGCGCCGGCCAGGGGGAGCATTCGGGTCCTGAAAGGAGACGCTTCCCTTGCCTGGTTTCACCCAGGGACCCAGCAAACGGAGGCAGTCCGTGACGGTTGCTGTTCTGGGGGTCTCTGAGATTGGTGGGGACACTCTTTCGGGACAATGGCGGTTGGCGGGATTTCTGTAGCTGGTAGTCACAGAGGCGGGAAACTTTCCCATGCTGGGACTCCCAGGAAGAGAGACTCATGGGATACAGGATGGGTGGCGGGAACAGGGGACAAAGGGACTGGAGTTCCGGTTCCATCAGGAGCTCCTGGGAGGGGGAGGACCCTGGGAGGGGACATTGTCGTTATATGTGATCCAACCCTTGCATGGGGAAAGTATAAAGCAGAGTGTGGCCAATAAAGTGGGGTGGTACACCTGGAACTGTGTGTCATCCAGTTACTGGGAAAAATGGGTCTCTTCCTTCATTAACAGCGGGGGTAACCAACACTATAGAAACATAATCATTATAACCCATACATATTATATTGTGTGCGTGTGCTTAGAGAAATTCATGGCAGACTCTCCTGTAAGGTGAGCTGGTGCACTGTATTAGCAGTAAGGCTGAGATATGAGAAGGAATGCAAATGCAGTGACAGATTACACATAAGGTATCATGAGCAGCCACCAAGCGCCCGGCTCAAGCAGGTGGGCCCCTTTATGTGCCTGGAGCACTGTCTATGTCAATAGATCTATCTGCTCGGCCCTGTGCCCCCTCACTTCACCAAGGGAGAGTTGTGATTTGTACCTGATAGAGGTGGATAATACCACAATACTCCCCCAGTGCACCACCAAAGAATGCTTTCCACTGGGCCACCCTCAACATCTCCACTCGACCACTCTGTATAACCTCCCGCCGAAAGGCTAAGCAGGAAGGGGGGAAAAAAAATCCTCCCCCAACACTGAAACATTACACAACACAACTCTCTCCCCCCCATTAATCTGTAGGGATTCTGGTGCTTAGAGTGTGCCTTTAAATATGTTCTTGGAGGATATTGAAGCTTTAACCTTAGTCATGCTTTAAATAAATTAGATAATTATATAACAGTGCTTCACTTTAACTTTAAATTCAGTAATAATCTTAATTTACTGTCATATGGTTTGCTTCTGTCAATGCCAATTTTAACGGGGAACTGTCATTTCCAACAATTTTTTATATTATGTTTTCTTATTCCTATATTTAACAGATATGTACATGAGGAGTGAAAAATAAAATGAACAGGGTTAAATTCACTGCAAATCTCACTTGTATAATCCTGGAAATGTAGAAATCCATACCGACAATGGGCACCTCCATCCAGCTGTCAGTCATTGTTAGAGGCTCTGTCCTTTGACCTTGGCAGACAGCAGAGAGAAAGCATACAGAGAAGGGGAGATATGAAACAGAATGGGAGACTTATCTAAGTGTCACCTTTTCTATCTCATTTTCAGCAACTTTTTGATGCAATTTATTGAATCTATTGGATTTCTCATGCGTTTTGAATATGCATATTATTTGTGTTGATGCAATTGATTTATAAATATTTTTGCTCTTTTACTGTGGAGGAATTTTTCAACCACTATAAATTTGTCAGTCTTCTCCTCTGAAATGCAAATTTGTATACAAACTGGCAGAATTTACCGTAAAGAAAACCTTCACTTTTTAGATTACAGTGTGTTTATGTTCTTTTTTAAAGGATCACTATAGTGTCAGGAAAACATAGCGGTTTTCCTGACACTATAGTGCCCTGAGGGTGCCCCCACCCTCAGGGACCCCCTCCCATGGCGCCAGGGCTGGATTAACATAGGGGCTGATGGAGCTGCAGCTCCAGGCCCATGGAATAGGCCCATTAAAATAAAAAAATTACACACTACTCTTAGGTTTGCCACCTGACTTGTATTTTAAGGCACAGACTGTATTTAAGGCTGCCTGGAAGTGACGTTATTGCAGTAATACCGGCAATACAAATGCAAATATTTTTCTCAATATAAACGGAGATTACTCTGCAATACCAGCACCGGCCAGTAGGGGTCACTGTGTGTGGAGAGAGGCAGGGATAGGAAGTTACAGCATCTCCCTACCTCTCTCTACTCACTGATCCGAGGGGGAGCAGCTACACAGCACAGAGAGTCCAGACAGCAGCTCCCAGACTGCAGAGACAGACTACAGCTCAGGTATGTGAAGAATGGGGGGGGAAGGCTGCAGGGAGACATGGGGACACTGAGACACTTGGGGACACTGATACACTAGGAGACACTGAGACACTAGGGGACACTGAGAGACGTGGGGACACTGGGAGACACTTGGGGACACTGGAAAACATGAAGACACTGAGAAACATGGGGGCACTGAAACACTAGGGGACACTGTGAGAGATGGGGACACTGAGACACATGGGGATGCTGTGAGACATAGGGAGACATATGTCTCCATGTCTCCCAGTGTCCCCATGTCTCCCAGTCAGTGTCCTTAGTGTCTCAGTGTCCCCATGGCTCCCAGTGTCTCCTAGTCTCCCAGTGTCCCTTAGTCTCCCAGTGTTTTTTTCCCCTTGTCTCGCAGTGTCCCCATGTCTCCTCATGTCTCCCAGTGTCCCAAGATGTCTGTGTCCCCATGTCTACCAGTGTCTACATGTCTCCCAGCCATTGTCCTTAGTGTCTCAGTGTCTCCATGTCTCTCTGTCCCCATGTCTCTTAGTGTCTCCATGTCTCCCAGCGTCCCCATGTCTATGTCCACAAGTGCCCCCATGTCTCCCAGTGTCCCCATGCCTCCCAGCCAGTGTCCCTAGTGTCTCAGTGTTCCCATGTCTCCCAGTGTCCCCTCGTCTCCCAGTGTTTGTGTTCCCATGTCTCTCAGTGTCCCTAGTGTCTTAGTTTCCCCAAATGTCTGTGTCTCCATGTCTCCCAGTGTCTGTGTCCCTAGTGTCTGTGACCCCATTTCTTCCAGTGTCCCCAAATGTCTCAGTGTCCCCATGTCTCCCAGTGTCTCCTTGTCTCCCAGTGTCTCCATGTCTGTATCCACAAGTGCCCCCATGTCTCCCACTGTCCCCAAGTGTCTCAGTGACCCCGGGTCTCTCAGTGTCCCCATGTCTCTCAGTGTCCCCTAGTATCCTAGTGACCAGGGACACACTGAGACATGGGGACACTGGGAGAAATGGGGACACAGACACTGGGATACTAGGGGACTGGGCGACATGGGGACACTGACACTGATACATAGGGACACTGATGCCAGGCTGGCCTTCCAATTCTTTGGACAGACATGCCCTTTTTCATGCATCTTCGCCCCTTTTGGCAGTTCTGGTCACGTGATTTGCGTCAGTGGCCCACCATTTTACCCCTGCCCATCGACTTCCTGCTTCACTGGACACTGATGTTAGGGGGTATGGATTTACTTGAAAGATGAAAGCATAAATTAGAGAGAGAGATTAACAGAGTATGTGTTTTCTTATAGCTGCATCCTTTGAGTTTCCCTCCAACACCAACTCAGATACATGACGCTTGAGAGCTATGACTGTTTTAGTGTTTTTGGTCGATAAGATTCTGTAATTAGGCCCCATCATAATTGTCAGCACCAGGCCCACTGGGCTCTTAATCTGGCCCTGCGTGGCACTGAAGGGGTTGAAACCCCCTTACCTTATTCCTCTCCTCGGTCGAATGCACATGCGCGGCAAGTGCTGCGCACACATTCAAGCTGTCCGGAAGACAGCCACTGGAGGCTGGCTTAACCCCAAATGTAAACTGCTATGTTTGCATCTAAAGGGTGAAAACCTGAGGGACATTGCACCTAGACCCCTTAATTGAGCTGAAGTGGTCTGGGTGACTATAGTGTCCCTTTAATTCTCCCTTTCTGTTTATTGAACTTTAATCACATACAGGAGGCTGTAGCAGGCTATTAGAGCCGGAGAGAAGAAATTCTAAATTAAACAGACTGTGCAATAAAGGAAGTTTAATCATTTGATCTCTCTTTGCATGTAATATGTAGGGAGGCTGTGTAGGTCATGTGCAGGGGAGGTGTTCTAAGGCTGCATAAACAAAGTAATTTATCTTCTAAATGGCACAGAATTGAGCAGTTAGACTGGACCGTTATGATCTATACACCAAAACCACTCAATTAAAGTGACACTATAGGTACCCAGACAGTTTCATCGCATTGAAGTGGTCTGTGTACAATGTCCCTCTTTTCTTAACCCTGCAATTTAAAACATTGCAGTTGTAGAGAAATTGCTTTGTCTGTATTGCAGTGTTCAACAAAATGTGAAG